GGCTGCAATCTGACCCTAAGGTGTTCCAGTCTTAGCTTCTAATATTCCCCCTCACATTCCCTTCCCTGGAGGGGCTTTCACAACCCCCTTCCTCCGCGTCCCTCACAGCTAATCCTTCAAGATCAGGTTCAGGTGCCACTGTCTCCACAGAACCACCTTTAGTGCCTCAGCTGACCCTTTGGCTCCCTCACCTGAGATCCCTCGGGCTCATTTTCACCTTCCTTGTGGGTTTCCACCTTCGGTGCCTGGGGCACATGACCTGTTCTTCATGCCTCACTGAAAGGTCCCTGAGAGCTGGACCGTCTCTGGGACGTCTGTCCCCCCGCAGCGCCCAGCCCAGCGACTTAAAAGTTCCATTAGACACTTGTGGGATGAAGGAAGCAGCAATTCTCGGGATCTGTTTCCCATTTGGTGAAAGGAGGAAGCTATATTAGCTTTCCTACTGACTCTAATGATCGGAATTCCGAATTGAAAGTATTAGACACTGCACACCTAATGTGTGTTGTTCTCATTTCAAAGTAAAGGACACGATTGTGATATTGGGGGGGGGGAAGGCACACACATAAAACAGTTATCTTACACTCTGAATGTAATCAAATGTTAGTTATAAGCAACAGAAAGTGACAAAGGAGCTCACCGAGGGAGGAGATGCTCATGGTCAAGAGTCAACATGGAGGGTCAAGGGGAGGAGGGGTTCACTGAATGGGCTCTGCGTCCCACTTAAACAGAGTTCTCACTCCCGGCACGTGGAGCCTGCGCGGAGGGCTGACCGGGGACACTAGAGGGAGCCAAGGCCTGCAGTCTGGAGAGAGCTCCCGCTCCGCTGCCCCGAGTTCCCGGCCTCTAAACATGGGCTTGGTAAATTGAGAAAGATCCTCTTTATCACACATCCAAATGCTTCTACAAGATAATTTAAAAAATGAAAAGTATTTTGAGCCTATTTTTGTTTTGTTTTTTTCCTGGTGTTAAACTTATTTTGAGGAGATAAACATGCAGTATTTAATGTCTGTGCACTTCGCGTCGTTTTTGCGGTGAAGAGCCCCGCAGCCTCACTGAGAGCTACCCAGACACCGAACCCCCGTGGAGAGGCTGGTTGTGGAAGTGGAGAGGACCCTGGTGGGACCCTGCTCCGAAGGCCTCCCTGCCCGCTCGGACGGCCTGGAGCTGGCAGCTCTGTGGCCACGGGTTCCCAGAACTGCCACCTCGCATCAGGCCAGGGGTGTGGAGGTTGCTGCCCATGCTTTCAGATACCAGGCTTCTGGGGCAATTACAGCCAAAGGTTACCCCTCTGGCCTTTTCACTCGGTCCAAACCCACAGAAAATCCTAAGCAACAGTTTAAAAGTGACCGGAAGTTCGGGAGCAGCAGCTGAGCTGGGTCTGGCGCACAGGGCACTGCCCATGCCGAGGGCGGTCAGATGGGAAGGGCCGGGGCTCCCATGGCCGGCAGGTGGTGAGAGGAGTGTGGACGGTGCAAGAAAGCAACCGGCACGACCGGTTCACTGCCTGCCTCAGGTGGGGCGACACTGGACGACGTGAAATTGCACTTCTACCCGACGATTCGAACTAGGTCACGTATTTTTGTCACATATGTATGTTTACTTTTAAGACAAAGAAACTTAAAAAATAAAAGGTGAAAAGTATACCGCAACTGGAAAGCAGCGGTGCGGAGGGCTTGGCCCCCTACGGGCGAAGCCTCAGGCCCCACAAGACGAAGCCTCGATGTCAGAGGCCAAGACGCCCTCAGCAGCCGCTGGAGCGGCCGAGACATGGCTCCCTTTCCCTCCAGATGCCACTCTCAGAGCTCCTCTTGATGTGGCTGTCACCAGCTTGCAGGTACACTGAGGGCAAGAAGCTGCAGAGCCAGGTCTACAGGAAAGAATGGAGAGGAAATTGTGGGGACAGGCTAAGAAGAGAGGCGCATTATCTATCCTCTCTCTTGCCTCCCCCCCCCCCCAGGCTGCTGCCTGGCATCATCAGGCTCTCCCTTTCCCCCTAAATCCAAAGGGCATAGGGAAAGGGAGACAAAAGCAAGCAAGCAGATGTGGAGGGTGAGGTGGCTGGCCGCTGGCGATGCCCAGAGAGGGTGAACCAGTGAGCTGCAGTGACAAGAGGCTGAAGCTGCCATTACTCCCGTGGTGGGCCGGACAGGACCAAGTTGCAGGCAGGGTAACGGAGAGTGGCCAGGAGCGTCCTGGCTTGGGCGAAGGAGGACCCTGCTGTGCAGGCAGGAGGGCTGTGGAGAGCCACCCGAAGGAGGAAGGAGGGGTTGGTAGGGGCCTGAGGGTGAGGGCTCCATGCTCCTTGCCCGTGCAGTCTGAGCCAGCCTGGCTGCCCTCCACGGAGAGTGCAGAGCCCGGAGGCAGAGTGCAGGCAGAACTAAAGAGCACTCTGTCCTGACCCCAGGGGCACGATTTGAACCCTGTGGTGATCAGGGCCAGGCCCGAGGCAGGCATGTAAATGCACCCCACATGTGGGCAGTGAGGAGCTGGGCCACAGGTGAGCCTTGGTCTAGCAGGCTGGGGCGGGACTGACGGGGTAGGGTCAGGGCCCCACCTCAGACCGTCTGCTGCCAAAGGCAAGTAGAGCTACAAGCTTCCCCACACATGAAGGTGGGGAGAAGAGGAGACGATGAAATTAAGGAGAAAAGAGGAGAGAAACAGGTCTCCTTGTGTGTGGGGAGCTAGGGACAGCCACATCGAGGAGCTCTGATTCTGGCAGATGGAAGGTTCTCTTTCAGCAAACCCTCTGGAGGCTCTCCGTGGATGGCGGCCACAGCACAGCTGTCCCAGATGCTCCCTGTGGTCTGGGTTTGAGTTGGACGTAAAGCTTAGTAAAGGCCGAAATGCATTCACCCTCGAATACTGTTACCCCATGCCCACAAAGCAAGTCCTTCTAGATCAGGTTCAGGTGCCACCGTCTCCATAAAGCCACTTGTTCCTCAGCTACCCTTTGTCTCCCTCACCTGAGATGCCTCAGACTCATTTTCACCTTCCTTGTGGGTTTCCACCTTCGGTGCCTGGGGCACATGACCTGTTCTTCATGCCTCACTGAAAGGTCCCTGAGAGCTGGACCGTCTCTGGGACGTCTGTCCCCCCGCAGCGCCCAGCCCAGCGACTTAAGGGTTCCATTAGACACTTGTGGCATGGATACAGCAGCAATTCTATGAATTTGTTTCCGATTCTGTGAAAATAGTAAGGTTTCTACAAGCTCTTGTCTGATTCTTCATTTAGATTAAGTATTGGACACCTGATGTTGTGTGTCGCATTTCCAAGAAGTGAAAGACACAAACGTGATTCTATTGTGATAACACAACCTACCAAGAGCAATTAGAGTATGAGACCGGATGTAATGAAATACTACCAGAACACTGTAAGAGGAGCTCAGCGGAGGGAGAGACGCTCCTGGTCCAGTGAAGGCCTGGAGGGCTGAAAGGAAGAGTGGTTAGCTGATCGAAGCTGGGGACGGCGGGCTGCGCGCTCAGCAGCCCCTCGGTGTCACAGCCTTGCCCTCGCTGCCTGCCAGCGGAGCCAGAGCCGCACTGCGGCTGTGACCGCTGAGTGAACCAGAGGCAGGTCAGCAGAATATAACACCACCTCCTTGGCTGTCCCGTCCTCTTGATTCAAGCCTCCCAGGCAGGAGCTGCAATCGTGGAGAAGAGTCAAGAATCAGGACTCTTCCTTGTATTTCTGTGACTCAGACCTTGGGAAAACTGGGGTGCAATGGCTGGGAGTCTCCCTTAACTTCATCCTCCTTCTCAGTAAGAAGGTGGGACCTTAGTGGTAACACTTTCCGCATAGTCCTTGCCTTGATCATCCAGGATGGACGCTTCCAACTTTTCATGGGACTGCCACATTTACCCTTGCCACAACCACGGGGTGTTTGTTCCTGTCATCCAGGTATTGGGGAGTGATTCCGACGCTCAGCTGGTGGTCACAGGGACACCTGCCATCAGCTCGGGCGTCCGAGATGCTTCTAAGCCCCCACCTGAGAGATTTCCTTCTCCAGACTCGGGTCCCTGTCTGGTTTAGTAGGAAGGAAAGTCACACCCCCTCATGGGTAGGCTGCTGCCTTTTCTGTCAACATGAGGCAGGGCAGGAACAGAGCTGCCCAGAAACCTGTCTCAGACCCTGGTGTTGCTTTTTCAACCCAAAATGATCATTGCTCTGCGATGACATGGTCTGCGAGTCCAACAAACACCACGCAGTCCACGGGACGCCGCTGCAATGGCGGCATGTTTCACGACTTCCCACGGGCTTCACTGCTTCCTACCTGCCCCCCATCTCCCCTGCCTGTGGGTATCTTTATGTCTCCAGTGCCTAGCACAGAGCCTGGCACACAGAGCACACCTGATAAATGATGCTGAATCCTGAGGGAGACACTTGGCAGATGAGTGACTTGAGCTAATGCAGCCTTAAAGGTATAGTATGACACGGCGACAAACATAAATATCCTCTGTCTCGTTTTGCAATAGACAATGTGAAACCCCATCTTTCAGAAAAAGCATTGTCTCCACTGCAATGCCCACGTCAAGGTCCCTGCTTATCAGATTCTGTCTCTCAGTGCGGAAGGAGAAGCTCGGAAATCTATTTACCTTAAGGAGCTCAGTCACGTGCTCGGCTCACAGCCCGTTTATCAGGATGAAGGATGCTCTCAGGAGACAGCAGACAGCAGGACCGGCCAAGCTCGGATGACAGTCTGCCCTGTAGAGATTGACTTTAATGAAGCACAGAATAAACAGGAAGATTAAGAGGGTGCAAAAATCAGTGACAAGTTTTGAGTTCACCTCTCTGTAGGAAACGAAAGGTCCTCTGTACAGTTGAGAGCTGTCTCTGGGTTACAGATGGGGCATCTGCTCGGTCACTAATGATCCCACGCTATCTCCGTCAGCCTCTGTTGTTCGAGGAAGGAAAGTTTTCCCTTAACTCACAGGCTCACTCCTACGCGGTTTAAATGTACCCGTGATGAGATTTGCTTTACAGGGAGTAGAAAGATTGGAGTTATGAAAGGGTTTGAGAAAGTATTTAATAGGCTAAAATGTTAGCCTGATAAACAGGGACTAAATATATATATTTTAATTTTGCTCTTTTATGTATCCCTTCACTTTGTGCTGAGAAATCATACTCACATAAGGTTCACGACTCAGGGATACTGTCAGAACCGTAGGTGTTACGGTTGGACAGGTAACGTGGAGCGTATCATGAAAGCCCAGGCACTTGGGGATAACTCAACAATGGGCTACATGATGGCCAACAAGCACCTGGAGGTCAACCCCGACCACCCCACTGTGGAGACTCTGCGGCAGAGGGCGGAAGCAGACAAGAACGAGGAGGCTGTCAAGGACCTTGTGGGGTTGCTGTTTGAAACTGCGCTGCTCTCTTCCGGCTTCTCACATGGGGACCCCCAGACCCACTCCAACCGCATCTACCGCATGATCAAGCTCGGCCTGGGCATTGATGAAGATGATTTGTCAGCAGAAGAACCCAGTGCTGCTGTTCCTGACGAGACCCCCCCTCTTGAGGGTGATGCGGATGCCTCTCGCATGGAAGAAGTAGATTAGCAGTTTCTACCTGCAAACCTTGTGTCCTCTGTGTAGTGTCTTCATGTTTCCCCAGCGGCCCTGAGTGGCCCTAGCCCACCTGGTTTCTTCTGGTGATGTTTAGTGGTTTTTTCCCCCTCTCCTGTCTTTGCCTTAAGACAGGTTACAAGGGCCTCAAGCGTTCTCATGTTTGACATCAGGTTTGGATGTTGTGTATTGTGGTATTTTTTTTTCTTATTTTGTTCTGAAATTAAAGTATGCAAAATAAAGAAGATGCAGTTTTAAAAAAAAGAACCGTAGGTGTGACTCGTCTGATGGAAGGACCAAGTTCATGGATTAAAAAAACACAGAAACAAGGTTCCTCGTTAAACAGTGCCATTTCCATAGGAACTTAATGATGTCCAACATTTTATTGTATATTGTTTTAGTTCCTTATTTCATATATGATTTGTTTCAGTAAATAGAAAGAAGAGGTTGTAAAACATCCATAGGACAGAGCCCACAATTCATACCCATTTGTTGGAGATGATGGTTTCATTTAGATTTAAGGGGGGGTTCATTTCTTGATTCATTGTCATTTCTTTTTTGGAGACATACATCTTACTAAAATATCGGTTTGATATATTTCTTATTCTTCATTTTTTAAATCATTTTGTTATTATTATTAAGTCTCACCCGATGATATGTTTTCCATTGATTTTTATGGAGAGTGGAGGGGAGTGGGGAGGGAGAGAGAGAGACATATTGATTGGCATGTACCCAAACCAGAGCTGGGGATTGAACCTGCAACCCAGGTACATGCCCTTGACTGAGAATTGAACGTGTGACCCTTCGGTGCAAGGGCTGATGCTTTAACCACTTAGCCATACCAGCCAGGGCATATTTCTTATTCCTTAATCAAACTTTGAGAACTTGTGTGTTTGTGTGTATAGATGTATTGAACATATATACATATTCATTAGGCAGAATGTCATCATGTTGATATTATTGTGGTTCTTTTACCACTAGATGGCACTCTGTTTCAAATTGATATTCTAAGCTTCCAGTAGTCCAGAAGTAACATTTATTGAGCAGTAACTGTGAGGGAGACACTGTACTAATCATCTGTACCCAAGTGAACATGTGTGGCAACACAAAAGGAACTCAAAACCATATTTGCAAACTATTTTAGGAAGGATGACATGGAAGAGGGTACAGGACACGATCATAATGGAGTGATCAAAAAGACCGTCTGAAGAGCTTCCCAAAGTACAGTGCGTTGAATGGAGTGGCAGGGGCATGAGGCAGCAAGGAGCAGACAGTCCAGGTAGGAGAAGTGGCTGTAGAAAGGTTTCTTGGGCGCCAGAGTGCACAAAGATCATGAAACAGTTTGGGTCCTCTTTGAGACAGTTATCTGATGCAGGCTCAAAGTCCATCGCTAAGCTTCACAGGAGAAGAAAGCTGCAGGGCAGGAGGAGGGAGAGCGAGAGAAACACTCAGCTTTGTACAAACAAATGAGTAAAACCTGGTCAGCATAAGGTATATTCTTGAATCTGATGATATTTTTTGACTGTTTATCCCAATAAGTAAAATTCAAATCAGCCACCTGAGCCAATACCATTAATTTCTGGTTTTATAGAAGTCTAAAAACTTACATTTATATTTTACATTATGTCATGCTGGAAATGGTAGAACTTATACTTGTCAAATTAAACATTTTTTTCTACCTGAATGTAGAACTCTGAACCAAGTGTCTCCAGCACTTCCAAAAGCCATCCATGAGACTTTAATTTTTTGTTACCTTAATAGCGTCCTAACCTTCTGGCTGTGTCCTCTGCAAATTGTTGTGTATTGTTTATTTATTTTGCCTAAGTGTAGGGTAACAGAAAGGTCATCATGTAAATAAAGAAATGTATTTGTGGCCCTGGCCGGTTTGGCTCAGCTGTTAGAGCGCGGCCTGTGGACCAGAGAGACCCGGGTTCAGTTCCCACTGAGGGTACGTACCTTGGTTGCAGTTTGTCCCTGCCCCGGTTGGGGTCATGTGGGTGGCAGCCACTTGATGTGTCTCTCTCACGTTGATGTTTCTCTTTTTCTTCCTCCCTCTCTCCTTCCTGCTCTATCTAAAGATAAGTGTAAAAATGTCCTCTGGTGAGGATAAAAAAAAAAAGAAATGTATTTGTGGCTGGGATTTAGCTTGTATTTATTTTTAGAGCATTTGAGGCAATAGAGGAATCTTATTTGGCACTGTACTTTCTAATGCAAATTCAAAGTTAAAGTCCTAAGGAGGTGTTTTCAATAGTTGAGTAGAAGAAACTGCACCAAATGAACAGTTAGGAACTCTGTTGCTTAATCTACAGGAAGTGTTTTCCATTCACCATATGTTATCGAGACTACCATTAAAATGTAATTTATTATGAGGATGAGTCTTTAAAATGCTCTGCTGAGGCCCCAGTTCTGGGACCACTGGCTAGGCCAGCACTTGGTGACTGAGGCCGTGATGTGCCTTGGGTAAGAAAAAGAGAATGAGGTTCATTAATTCTTGATGTGCCTTAAACACTGAAATACTTTTTTTCTTTCTTGGAAGGGAGAAACTACCCTTAAACAAATAGGTTAAATATTCTGATTGGTTCGTCTCCCTTTAATGTGAATGAATGTTCCCAAGAAGCTGTCATCAGGACAAGGCTTTGTGATGCGCCAAAGGGAAGGGTTCTTCTGTGGTCACCGTTCGGCCAATGGAAACAGTCTGCCAGGAGACCGGTGAAGTTAAGTGTTCAGTCTGGCAGACAAGAGTGGAGGAACTGTAGCTGTCAGGCTGGGGTCGTGACCTGAGCCTTGGTGTCCCTCGCTGCTCTCTCTAGCTCAGCCGCTCAGTCCCTCTGAGTTTCTGTGTTGCTGCCGTGGTACTGGAGGCTCGAGGCCTTCGCATCTGAGGACAGTGCCTAGGCTCTATTCCGTGAATGGTGGAAATGCTTGTCTTGTTCAAGTAAGCCTGTGTGGCTCGAGGGGGGTGTGGAGCTGAATTAGGAGCAGTAGAAGATGAGTCTAGAGTGACAGGAAGAAAGACCATCCCAGTGTGGAGGGCCTGGGACCCCAGAACGTGGGTTTTTTAGAAGCAAGTCTGGGACGGAGCCCATTCACACACACTTACCGTTAGCCCCTGTTGTTTATAACGTATTTGCCAAAGCAGTTGCAGCTTAAATTTTTTATTTCCAATCATAAGCCATGAAAAGACTCTTATAGCCCCTAAAATATTCATGGTATTGCTGCTGCCTGTTTGTACTAGAATCTGAGGGCTTGCCTTCAGCTATACCTTAGCATAAAAGAAATCGTGGTGAAAATAACTGGCATAAAGCCATCAGCTAGCTCATTTGCTGTCTTTCATGATAAGACAATAAAGGAATTAAATGATGTCTCATTTGGTTTCATACATTTGCATACTTAAATGTTTGGATACTTCCTGCTAAGTAAATGGGGTCTGATCAGACAAGCTAGTAGTGGGTGAATACCTAAAATTTTCATACGTATTCATTCTTTCTGTCCGTGGAATATTTTTATTGATTATTATACTATATCAATGCTATATCGTTGAATGGATGAAGCAGATTAACAAAGGTGTATGCTACTTGTGAAAAAAAGTTATATGCATGCTCCATTGTAGTATATATTTTTCTACATATATATAAAATGATAACACAATACACACATATAAAAACCAGTATGTCAAATCATATTGTGAGTACAAATTAAGTCATATTAACACTTACTGCCCCAAATACAATGGGTTTGAGTTCTACCCCTGCTTTTAGCCAGTCTTTTACAAAGTCTACGTCCCAAAATATTTCTGAGAGTACCAGGGGAGCTCACATGCATTAAAAAATACTAATCTTGGGCCAAATGACCCCATTAATGTGGAACCCCCATCCACATCTCTGCCAAATTTGAGCTTTGCTCACACAAAGCAAGAACAAAGAAAAAAAGTGCTCTGGATGTGATGACCTGTCCTCCCCAGCACAGCGTGGCTCGGGAAGCTGCAGTCTGAAGGTAACAGCAAAGAATTGTCTCTCTGTGTTTCCCCACCACACACGATGTCCCAAAACAAAGCAGTTTGGTTCCCAAGTAAAAGGTACACACACACTCATGCGCGCACACACACACACACACACACACACACACACACACACTCACTGACTTTCTTCAGGGTATATGCTATCCACAGGGCCTACACTGAAGCAACTTTCTTTAATTCTTTCCACTGTGAGAACCTCACTTTCCTACTTTCATTTTTTATTTCCACTCTTCTTACAACTGTCAATAAAATACAAGCCTCCATAAGAATAAGTTATCAGCATAGCACACTTGAATTAGATACAGAGGGTAAAAAGATATCCCTCCCTCATCACCCAGTTCATGCCCAATTTTGTTTTACTGACACTCACTCAACCCTGAATCAGGAGATTTTCAAGTCCATGTGGCCAATTTCTGTTCAGACTTCTAAAAATTAAGTATAAAGATTGAAGTAACAAAATTAAGAACTTGAGTCTATCTATCTACCCTAACAGTCTCTATTTGAGTATACACACCCCACCCCACCCTATCATGTATCAACATCACTAAGAAAGAACACACTTGTTTTTCTTTTTTTTTTTTTAATCCTCACCCGAGGATATTTTTCCATTTTTTGTACAGATAGAGTGGGAGGGAGAGAGAGGAAGGGAGAGAGAGAGAAACATCGACGTGAAGGGACACATCGAGTGGCTGCCACCCGCACAACCAACCAGGGCCGGGGACAAACTGCAACCGAAGTACATGCCCTTAGCGGGAACCGAACCCGGGTCTCTCCGGACCGCAGTCCGATGCTCTAACCGCTGAGCCAAACTGGCCAGGGCAGAACATACTTGTTTTTCAAGCACATAGGAAACATTTATACAAATCAACTATGTTATAGGTATGGTGGAAACCACAATAAATTCCAAAGAATCAAATGATACACTATTACCTGACCATAGGCAATAAAATAAGAAATCAGTAAGAAAAAAAACTGT